TGTGGTAGGGAGGTTACAGGATTCAGAACCTAGAAGGGTGTTTGGCACATATAATGTGTTCAAAAGATATCTGTTGGGTGTAAATAACTGGATGAAAGCTAACAGTTATTTAGCTCAAACATAGGCTTACATTCCTCCAGAATCCCAACTCAGTTCTAATCCAGTCCCCTGGAGAAGAGTAACAGGTCATTCATTCCTTGTCCGCAGAAACCATGAAGATCTGGTTTCCTGAGGTCCCATTCTCCCTCAGAGGGTTGCCAAGGGGTAATCAGATTTACTCCAGCATTGGTCACCGCATCTTCTGATACTCTACACGGTATTTTGTAACTCTCCAAAAGTGTTCTTCTTAAGGAATCTGGGCCAACACTGATTCTTACTTTTCCTTTGCATTGTAATTATTTTACATTATTTTTCTTCTTTTTGATGTGTTTTTTTTTCCCATCTGTTCCTTTTTCTTCATTTCAGAATCAAGTAAAGACTACGGTGACTCACCGAATTTATTAAGTTTACTGAGCTTTCAACTGGTGTTGAAAACAAAATTAAAAAGAGGTCAAGCCAAAATAGTCTGGCAGTGGGATGGAGATGGCATCGGTACAAAATTGGTAATTAAAACCTTGGTCTTGGAAACCATGAATGGAATTCCCTCGGTGTAGGAAAACCACATCTTACACGGCAGAATACCTCAGAATGTGTCAGAAGAGTCTCAGTGTCTGAAAAGAACGGCGCTTTCTGAACAGTAAAAAAAGAGAAAAAAGTACATAGCAAGAAAGAAAGCCAAGATATAAAATTCAGAAAAGCAAGACAAGAAGTAAGTAATGTTATGTAATGTTAAATCTTAAAATTTAAGACTGAGGTATTGCTAAAAATGAAGATCCTGAAAAAGGGATAAAGGAAGTAGATGTAGATGGGGAAGAGGCTAAAATATGTTTTGTGTTTTTCCTTCTTGACGATAGAGAAGGGATGGAGACATGGCATTCTACAGAAGTAGCAGCATTAGATTAATCTGTAAGAACTGATGACGATGACAGAAACGGTGTTGAGAATTAAGCATATTTTCTCTTTTCCCTCAATAAAATATCCTGGAGAAACTAGCAGCAATAATACAGTTTCTTATTAGATGCAACGTACAGCCAGGATCTTGAAAGGTCTAGAAAGCAATATCCACTAAGGAAACAGAAAATACAAGAGCAATCTGAGACAGAGGACTGAGCTAAGAATGTCCTTCATTTGATGTCATAGGGTTCCTAGATGCTTCATAAAGAAATCTGAAAATATTGGAAAGGGGTTTCTACTTACTCTCTCTAGGGGCGGGTCCTTTGAACTGACTTCGGATAGGTAACAGTGCCATGTTTCCAATGAGTTTGGTGTCGGGGTCCATGAGAGAAGAGTGGTAAGCCTGCAGTGGCATGCCAGGGAAGAACACAGAAGCAGAGAGAGGGCACACGTCAGCGGGGCAGACAAGTACGTCTTTTTTACAAAAGGCAAAAAAGAGTAACCCACCCAAGACTAACTAGAGGTGGTGGCAGAAGGGATGATGGTGGTGATGTGCTGGAGCTGGCTCTTACTGGCTCATGAAAACCAACTGTTAAAATTCTTAGGAATTTTGAGAAATTTTGAGCCAAGATGATTGTTGAACACAGTTGTTATTAAAAATTATATAAATCTGCAATGTTATACTAAAAAAAAGATAATACATACTCAAAATGCATTAATTCCTATGTAAAAAAAATTTTACTATTGTCCATGATCTTAAGGTTATTTACGTCTTTTGTGTCTTTATGGAAATACTATATAATGGGGTGCTACTATGCATCTCTTCCATGTTCAGTGACATCACACCGGTAACTGGTGGGAGTATTTACACTACAGAAATATGCAAACATTAAATCGGTGGCCCCCAGACCCTCGCTGTGGTTAAGCCGGAGCCCAAGCACTGGTTTATCAGCTCTGCCATTTCACGCCTTCATCTAAGATTCACTTTTCTTCTCTTAGCCTGTTTCCCAATTTGTAAAATGAAGAGATGGATACTGCCTTCAGGGGCAGCTGTGAATTAAAAATGAGGGGAAAAAAGTCACATTTAGGAGAGCAATTTGTACATCATTCCTAGTTCTGCCTTTTACAAGATGTCTGTAAGAATACACGAGCTCCATTCCTATATTCATTCATTCACCAAATGATTACTAAGCACCTTCTAAGTACAAAGCATGGTGATATAATGGTATGCAAGACCAGCATGGTCTCCGTGCTTGAAGAACTTTCAGGCTAACAGAGAAGACAGATATTAAATAAGTAATCACAGAGGAAGTCCAGAGTGTTCTATGTACAAATAGAAAAAGCACAGGGCTTTAGAGTCGTAACTTAAAATCTGGCTTTACCAAGCAAGGCCTTTGCACTGGTGCGCAACCTTGGGCAAGTTATTAAACTCTGAGCCTCAGTTTCCTCCTCTGCAAAATGAGAAAACAGTAACTTATCTACTTTATAGGGTCACTGTGAGGATTAAACAGGATAATTTACAGAGTGTAGCTCAGCTGCCTGGCACACATCCGGAGTCACATGGTAGCTATGGGATTCATAAAATATGAATCTGTAACCACGGCTTGCTCCTTTTTATCACAGATACGGGGCATCTAAAGCGGCCTCCACCCTCCCCTCCAACAGATGTCTTGTTACCCATCTATTTCCTTCCTGGCATTTGTCACTATCGAAAAAAACGATCTTCTTTATTTTACTTACATTTACATGTTTACTGCTTCTCTCCATTAGAATGTAAACTCTTTAAAAACCTTTTTCCTAATCTGCAGAATGAAGATCATGATGGCGATAAATCTACCCCAGAGACGGGCTGTTTGAAATTAGGACAAACCACACCACCTTCAATTCTTCTCCTACTCTGATGCACAAGAAAAAAGAAAAATTTGGAAACCAGGAGCGGATCCTGAGTCTGCTCTGGTGGCGGCCACCACCGGGCAACAGGAGAGGAAGTGGGATCTGACAGATGACAAGCAGCGCTAGGGACCCACCCCCTGGGGCGGAGGAGGAAGTGGGCCTTCAGGAAAAAAGGAGAAGCCGGACCCTGGACTTGAAAAATAAAAATAAAAAGCGCAGCCCTTGTTTTCGTGGCTCTATTGAGGTTTTAGGGACCCTGTCGGAGTCGGAGGGTGGGTGCAGAAAGGAAAAAGACGGGGTTGGGAATGGAGATTACGGGGGCTGGCAGGGCAGAGGCAGCCTCCTCTGCACGCCCACTCTGGCACATTCTGTCGCCCCCACCCCCTTAGCCGACCTGCCCAGGCCACCCCAATCTTACGGGAACCGGCCTCCTTCTTCCTTCTTTCTCTGGCCCCCGCTTCCTCTCTGCCCATTTTGGCCCGCTTCTCTCAGCGCACGCACGATTTCTTGCTGCTCTCCCCGATTCTCACTGTCTCCCCATACCCCAGACTCGGGCCCCTTACCGGCATCCTGGCGGCCCCGGAGTTTCAATCCAGACGAGGAGGATCGGGTTAGAGCGCGGCGCTTCCGGTCTGGCAGCCCGGGCGGGGTAGGCGGAAGCGAACCGGAAGGGGAGGGCGAGGGAGAAGGTGCGCTTCCGGCCCTGCTGCCCTGCGGTTGGCTGCTGCGGCTGCGCGGATCCAAAGGGGCGCCAGGGGGCGCGCGAGCACCAGACAGCGGCTGAGTGTCGCGCATGCGCGAGGCGTGGAGCTAGCAATGGGTGCTGGGGTTGCATGTCCACAAATCCAATGAGCACGCTTCTGTTTTTCCCTGAGATCACCTTTTCAGTGAAGCATGCCCTAGGTCACACTATTTTAACCTCAATCCCACCGCACTCCCTTGCCCCTCTTTCTTTCCCTTCTTACCTTAGTTCTTGAGATTCTTTTATTATTTAGTTTACTTTTGGTGTTTATCTCCCCATCCAGGTGAATGTCAAAAGGCAGGGATTTTGTTTTGTTCACGCAGTTTCTCCCATGTGTAAAACAGTACATAGTAAGCATCAATAAATACTTGAATGAACCCAATCCGCTTTTTTTTGGTTTCAAAAACGTCATTGTCCTCAACTGCCTTTACAGTTTACAGCAATGTTTCACATATTAGTTCCTTGCAGCCTTTTTCATTTTGATGTTTGGGAACTGGGTTTTCAGGGGTGTGACCAAATCACTGGTTTTTAAAATGGGTAAAGGAATCTACTGCCATGCTACCCTGAACATGCCCAATCCTGTCTGATTTCGGAAGCTAAGCAGGGTCAGGCCTGGTTAGTACTTGGATGGGAGACCACCTAGGAATACCAGGTGCTGTGTTTAAAGAAAAAATAGGTAAAGGAGAGCACAATGAGAAAGCTTTTGTACATTACTCTGTACTGTAATTTGTGTAATGGTTGAGAAAATCAACTCGGTTTGAATCTCAGCCCCAACAATTATTGGCTGTATAATTTAGGGCAAGATAATTAACCTCTCTGCGGGTCAGTTTCCCCATCTGAAAATGGAGATAACAGTACTTACCTTAGTTTCCTGAGAAGAAATGAATTGCATGCTCAGGCATTTTTAACCTATTACTAGAAAGCGCCTCATGTTAAAGCCAAGTTCACTGCTGCTTCAGGCCATCTCTTCTGCCAGTCTCTCAGACTGGAATACCTTGCCCCATGTTCCCACAACTGATTTCTCATTTAGGTCTCTGGACAAATAGCACCTTTTAGGAGGAGCCTTCTTTGACAATTAGTCCAAAGTAGCTGACTAGTCACTCTCCATTTCATTACTGTTTTCTTTTCTTCCCATTCCTAATCAGAGGTTTCCCTGTTTATGGTTAGTCTCAAGGACCCAGCATGTCAATTCCATGAGTACAGTTTTGTCTGCCCTGCGTGCTCTCATTTTATCCCCAGTGCCTGGCACCCACTAGTAAATTTGTCCAAAGAACCATGTCAGACTCTCCTACTTGGGAAAATTTACTCATTCAAAAATTTAACCTGCCTGAGTATTTCAAATTTTGACTGGAGAACAAGAGTGCGATGAAAGGTTAGTGCTGTTTCTTTTATTTATATACATATATATCTTAAAACAGTTACTTTCATTTTTTAATTATACATTCAATGTAGAAAAACTGAAAGATACAGATAAACATGGTCTTACCTATATCCTTCCAGACTTTTTCCTTTGGACACACATATATTTATTTAATTATAATAATTCCTGCCCCTCCAAAAAGTTTTCAAAAATAACAAATATCAAACAGAAAAAATAAAGGCAGACTGGTCTAAACTGTACCAAAAGTGCTAATTTATATTATATTCAAATCTATGTGCATTTATTTCAATTTCAACTTTTAAGATCTAAGTTGATGCTGTAAAAATAATACTAAAAGATTCTACTTTCAACAGCAGCAGTTTCAGAATAACTAAGAACTTGATTCCGGTGTGCTGCTCATAAAAGCCAAACGTTACTTTTTTTATTAAAATAAGTAGCTTTCTACTATTGCATCCTTTGAGAAGAATGTTCTGCTGGTTCAGCCACAAGCTCTTCAGATATATATAGTTATTTTTAGTAAACTCTTTATTCATTCTGGTGTTCTTGAAAATATTCATCAAACATAGAAGAAGACTCATCTTCATGTTCCTGATGCAAAGAAAACAAAAAAGAGAAAATATATTCATTTCCCCTCAGTTAGACTTAGTATGTGTTTACATATTTTCCAGGTAATGCTCTATAAGGAGCAAATGCCCAGCACCAGCTCCAGGTACTGCACATAGAAAACAGTAACAAAAGGCATGACTGATAGAATATCTCCAGATATATGATAAAGTGTTCATATCTCATTAGAAGCATTTCTTACATAAGTTTACAGTCATGCCGATTCTCAACTAATCTGCTGTGACAGTGCCCTACTGACAACTATGATTAGTCTTTGCACTAACATATGTGAGGGCAGCCCAAGTTCAACTGGATTTCACCTCCTCTTTGCATATACCCCAAGCTCTGAGTGCAAAGAAACATAACTCAATAACATTGCCTCGACAAAAGGTACAGTAAAATTGATGTTGCTCGTTGAGCACAGGTGTCAATTTCAGAGATCATGGGATAATGCGGGAGGCCAGTGAGTGCCAACAAATATTTTTACCAAAAGCCAGTGAATACCCTAAACCAGAAATTACCTTTGGTTCTTTAAATTCCAAGTCTTCTCCATACTGAATGGCAAAATCAATATGCTGTAGGACAATGTTCATGCTTTCTTCATCTGACTGATCATAAGGCAAAAACCGAACCATGCTGTAGTCATCAATCTGCAAGTTAGGGATTTTAGAAAGCGTCATTCTGAAATTGTGCCAATACTTTCTTTTCAAATTATATTTGAGTTTAAAATTATTTATACTTCTGATTAAGCCATTTGTGTGTGGGGGGAGGTTGGGACAGACAGAATAACAGCAAATCAATATTCATTTTTCTGACTTCTGACCTAGTAGAACACTCAACTTATTACTTACCTAGACACTGTTTCATGGGCATTTATCTGAATTCAACAACCACTGAAAATTTCAAAAGGGCACAGATAGTTCTGAACTCCCAAAATGGCTTAGAATAATAGACATGTCAGTTAATTTACTGGCTACTGCCAATAACTGCTTCTAAATTAAACTGCTGACCCACCAGTGCACAGGCTTCCAACACCCTCCTCCTCTCTTTGCAAGGAAACAGGGTTGGACTGTGTTTTCCATAATGGTGGCCACTGACCGGACCTCCATAAATACTTGACTGGTCATTAAAAAAAAAACTTAAAAAGCTTACCAATCCACATACGGCTTTAGTCAACTTTTTGAATTTTTTGCTTCTTAGGTCACTTGTAGAATCATTTAATAAAGAATACATGTCTGGATCTAGAAACCTTTAAAAGTGAGAAAGAAGACCAATGAATAAAAGGAAGAATAAATCAGGAAACTAGATTTACAAACTGACAGAACCTCACATGTAAATAAAGCATAGAAGGTTCATCTCTGCAATTGAGATCTGATGATAATGGGAGACGTGAACTCACTTCTCAATTTCCTTTTTAGCTTTCTTACTCAGCAGATCCATTTTCGTCATGATGTTAACTTGTGGAATTTCTAGAGAGATCATAGCACTTAGGGCTGCCAAGATGCCAGAAATAAACTAAAGGAGGAAATAGGAAATGGAATATGAATCAATTGGGGTCAACCAAGTTCCCTGGTCTCTGCATAAAATAGAGGCTTCTACTCCTCACTGGAACAAAACTGGCCTAAGTCGAAGAAACACTAATCCCGACTATAGGACAGTCCACTAATCAGAGGGTTGAGCCCTGATTTCCAAAGGTGAGGATAGGAAGGAAGGTGGAGATTTCACCTACGCTATCACGAATCTCCATTTAGATGATATCATTAACCTTTTTTCTCATCGAAATTCTTTAAGAGCTATTAATGAATAATAAAAGTTTTAGATAGTTCATAAACTATACAAAAGGTCCTCCACAAATTAAAAACAGACTTACATAATATGCATCTGCCTCATTTTTCTTGGTAAGCACTAGTTCCCCTAAATCTATCTAATACCATAATTTATCAATGAAATTAAAAATCCATTATAATAATTCAATGATAAGGGATACTAAGTAACTCTGGAGTATAGTTTATGAAAGGTCCAAAATCACACAATGATTAAAGGAGACTGTCATCAACTTGTACTCATGACTGAAAAATCGACAACAGATTTATCCTCAAACCTTGAACGACTCCACCATGAACTGAGAATCAACCAGAAAAACTCCGCAGACTCGGAACTCCCACTGTTCTAGCTGCTGGACCAGCTGCTTCATCACGGGCAGGTGTGTGTACAACTCGATTTGACCTACAGCGAAGAACATTACCAGACTGTCACGATCAGCAAATATGTTAAATCATCAAATTACAGAAAAAAATGTTTTTCGTAAGACAGTTAAAAAAAAAGGAAATCATCCACTGGTAGTAATATATTCAGTTTCTAAGGGGTCTTACGGCTTCTCAAAGCAATCACAGAACCACGAGGTTCTTTGCAGTTTGGGAATATTGTTCAAGCACTATTCTTACGTCGTTTTCATTTTTTCTGTGGGTGCATGTATGCTCAATTAAAAGCTAGGAGAAAAAAGGGAAAGCCACAATGATCCAAGCTAGGTTAAGCTCAAGTCTCAAATTTACAGTCTGGCTTAAGAAGAAGTCATGTGTGATGCTCTGTCCCCAGCAGCCTCACTTCATCACATTTCCCTTTGCTTACTGTGTTCCAGCCACACCAGCTGTTTGGTGCCTCAAACCCACCTCGCTCCTTCCTGACTCAAGGCCTGCAGCCTGCCGTGCCCTCTGCCTGGACCACGGTCTCCCTCGCTTTCACCCTATGGCCCAGCTCACAGGCCCCTGGATCGGAAGCCTCCCCTAACCTCCCTGCTATGTGATGGTCTGTGCCACTCCTGTGGGATGGGGCACCTGTCCCCATGAATACTAAATAATCATTTGAGTGATTTCTGTTTATGCTGTCTAGCACTCCCACTTGGCAGAGACCACGGGGGCCTGGCCCTCTCCGGCATTCCCTGTGTACAAAGTTAAGCATGCAGTAAACACAATGAATGAATGAGAGCCAATGAGTGAGAGCTTTGTACCTTACTGCAGCATGTACGGTTCAGAGCTACTAATACTCCTCCATTTTCTCCCACTGAGGACAGAACTTTAAGGAAAACGACACATTCAAATTGTGGACTTACCTGGACAGTCAAAAAGGATGTAGTCATCCTCTACGTGACCAAGACAGTTTTCTAGCCAATCAAAATTATTGGCAAAGTACTCCATGCAGAATACCAATCCTCCATTGGGACCAAACCGCAGAGAATGGTCTTCCATCACGTCATCCACCTCAATCAGTTCCCGGATGTCTGAAAAGGACAGACAGGGCCCAGAATACAAAAGCGTCCATTTGAAAACAGTCATCCTATCCAAACTAGTGCTAATTAACAATTATATAAAAACTCACACATATGAAATTATTTCTGTACATGTTTATTCACTGTAGCAGTGTCTGAGAACCAATTAAATTATTATACAGTTGAACAATGGAGCTATAAAAATGAGAAGTTCTTTAAGCATTTGATTATGATATAATCTCACAGGTATACTGTTAAGTGAAAAGTATAAGATGCAGTACTCTGTGTGAGAATGCCGTCATCTGTGTTTAAAAAACAAGACAGACTCAGGATATGTACATATTTGATTTTATATGCATAGACTCTATGGAAAAACACCCCAGAAACTGGCAACAGTGGCCACTTCCAGGGAGAGGAGCTAACAGCTGGGACATAGAGCTGGGAGGGAGATGTTTACTCTTTTATACCTTTTGCATTTTGAACCATATGATTATATGCTACCTATTCTAAAACAGGTAAAACCAAACCAAGAAAACCAATTACTGTTTCTTAACACAATGACCCCAGGGAAGCTATTTAACCTCCCTGTGTCTCACTTGTTACCATCCCACTCGTTACCATCCCACTCGTTACCATCCCACTTCTCTGCTTCTTCCACAGCAAAATTTTATCAGTAAGTCCTCTCTTCTCAGAGCCTACGCCGTATCACCTCCAGGTCACTCTTCAAACCACTACGATCTGGCTTTCATCCCACCACTACACTGAAACCACCAAAGTCACCAAAACCTCCATGTCCCAGAATCTAACAGCCACGCCTCTGTCCTCATCTTCCACAACTTCCCAGCTGCATCTGACATCCCCAACCACCACTCTTTCTTGAAATAGTCACTCCTCCTGGCTTTTGTGATGCAACATTTTCCTGGCTTTTCTGCTACCTTACTGACTCCACTTCCTCTACCCAGCCTCTGAAGATCAGACAACTTCTCGGCTTAGTCTTGGGTCCTTCTCTCTAACCATACTACCTCCCAACCTGATCTCGCCCAGTCCCACAGCCTTATGTTTTATCTCTATGCTGCTGACCCTCAAATTTATATCTCCAAGCCAGACCTCACCCCTGAATCCCAGACTATTATATCCAACTGGCTCCTTGATATTGCCTCTTTTTTTTTTGATATTGCTTCTTGATATCTATCAGACATCTCAAAACTTAGCAAGTGAAAGGAAAACTGCCCCAAACCTAAACCAACTTATCTTCCTCCTAAGTGAATGCTATCATGCACTCAACGGCTCAAGTCAGAAACCTAAGAGTCAGCCTTGATTCCTGCCTTTCCTACACGCTTCTGCCCTTCCTACACCATCTCTCATAGAATATTGCTGACTCAACTAGCAAAATATATACCAAATCTGTCTGCTTTTTTACATCTCCACCACGACTGCCCTAGACCAAGCCACCTGGACAACTACGATGGCCACACTGCTGGTCTGTTTCTATTCTTGACCTTCTAGAGTCCATTTTTCATCCAGGAGCCAGTTATCTTTAAAAACATAAAAAATACGCCAATCCTCTCCCCTGTCTGAAACCCTCTAGTGGCATTCCGCTGTTGACAAGTGCTATAAATTGAATGCCAGTGTCCCCCCCCACCACCACAAATTTCCTAAGTCCTAAACTTAATGCCTAAGGTGTTGATATTAGGAGGTGGGGACTCTGAGAGCTCTTATAAAAGAGGCCCCAGAGAGATCCCTCACCCTCTCCATCATATAAGGACATGGGGAGAAGTTGGTAGTCTGTAACCTAGAAGCGGGCCTTCATCGGAACCTGACTTTACTGGCATCCTGATCTTGGACTTCCAGTCTCCAGAACTGTAAGAAATATATTTCTGTTATTTATAAGCCACCCAGTCTGTGGCATTTCATTATAGCAGCCCAAACAGACTAAGAAGCACATTACCATCTTCAGGTCTCGGCCCAAATGTCCCTTCCTCAGAGACACTGTCTCTGACTACGCTACCTAAAGCAACCTCCCCCAGTTATTCCCTCTCATCGGCGTATTTGCTGTCCTTATCACACTCTGCAACATGTTTATTATTTTTCTTATTGCTCATCTTCCCCACTAAAAGGTCCACGAAAGCAGGGACATCTTGTTCTCTGCTATAATCCTGGAATCTGGCATAAAGTAGGTGCTCAACAAACATGTGAATGAATAAATTAAAAGAATTTTAAAAAACAAACTACTTAGGCTTTCTACTCCTAGTACGATCAGCAGTTAACTGGATTCACCACAGCAGGACTAAGCATGAAAGGGACAGAAGAGGAGGGTGGGTAGGGAGGCATCTACTCACTTTTATTTTGTACATCAGAGAACAAGATACTGTCGCACACGTCAACATCGGGGGATGTCACCAAATGATAGTCAGTCTCATGCTGTTCATCATTAAATCAGGGAACCAGAGTGTCATAATTAACTTTTTAGCTCCTGTGCCAAGCACCCAGAACTCACTGCCTCCTCGCCCCTTTATTTTTCCTGAAGGAGAGGGAAGGCTCTGCTCAGGACTCACCAGCCATTACAGAGTAGTTGAAGTGTTCTGCTGCAGGATCGAGGTTCACAACCTGGACAGACCGATTGAGGGCTTCACAGTGCTGGACCATGGTGGCACAGTAGGTGCTCTGTAATGTCACAAGACCCAAGGGGTGAGAACAGCAATGTAGTGCTACTGTCTCCACCCCAGAAGGACTCTACACCCCTTCGGCACTGTCTACTAAGGACAAAACTATGCCTTCATCGACCAGGAAGCTGAATGAAAACAGAAAAGGCATTAGGCTGGGAGTCAAGACACCTGACTGGGCTGCAGATCTGGACCTGGTTGTGACTCACGGGTAACTTTAGGGAAGTTTCTTCTCCACTCTGCCCCTCGATTTCCTCATCTCTAACTAGAATGACCTGCATGATCCCTAAGGCTCCTACTGCTCCAACATGCAACAAGCAAAATTTAAAGAGAGTATTTGTTTACATAGTGCAGTACCTAACACATGGGGTCCCCACAAGGACTTGCACAGTCCAAACAGAGCTGTGTAGGTAGAGTGATCAGAGATGATGTCTCTGAGGAGGGGATATTTGAGCTGAGGGATGGGAATGTGCTTGCAAGCTA